TTCAGTCATTTATTGTCTTTATTTATCAATTAAAATACGTTTCGGTGTATTTTTCCACCATCATCAGTTTTTACACGTAAAAACTGATGAGTAAAAACGTATTTTAATTGATAAATAAAGACAATAAATGACTGAAACCCAGGAATTAATTTTGTTCCAACAAATTCAAACAATCCCTCTTAAAAAAATAAAAATTACTAGCCAAGAGCGTATAAAATTTACCGATGAATTTCTGTACGATACTATTTGTTTGTCATTTTTATCTGGAGCTTATGTAAGGTTCGAAATGCACGAGAGAATGGAAAAAAAAGTGATTGGCGCACCGGCGGTTTTTATCTCAATAAATTATAAAATAATCATCATCAAACAATAAACAAAACCACCTAACCTTAAATCGTCTTCACTCATCTGTAGAACTTGTCAACGATACGTTCGATAACGATCCAAATCGATATTTGATTGGTTGGAATCGCCGCTATCGACAGAAGTGACAGGCCGTGACGTGAGTCGACGCTTGTCACCTGTCAAATCGGCTGACGTTTGCTGCTGACGCGCACCGCCCCACTACGTACCTCCCCTACACTACCTCTAACTTGTGCGTTCGTTTCGGGACAAAACCGCTAGATGGCGCCAGCTTACGGCTGCATATCGCGCATGCTCGCTACTAATCCCCGGTCAGACGCTCACCGGTGATGACAGCCAAGTTCTCAATGTCCTTGGCCACCTCCGAGATGGCAGCACACACGCAGGCCAGCACGTGACTGTCGGGCGACTTGAGCAAATTGACAATCAGCTCAAGGCCGCCTACGAAACAGCGCACCATTTCCCCTGAGTCAGTGGCGTGTCGGATGCAGGGCACCAATGACCAGGCGGCGTTCGCCTGCACCTGCGCACAACCGCCTGCGATCAGCCTGCTGTGACAGTGACGCAGTCAATCAGTGTACCTGCGGCGAGTCGTTTTTCAGCAGCGACCAGATCAGACGGACGCCGTCCAATCGCTCGATCTCTCTCATCGACTCGTCGTCTTCGGCGCACTCGCGCAACACCATCGGCACATTCTCGAGCAGCGGCGGGTAGGTGTAGTTGAGCAAATTGACCAGGTGGGGGATCCCATTGGCGCGCCGCAAACTGTTGCGGTTATGTTCGAACTTTAGACACTCGCCCAGCGCCCCCACCACGTTGCTCAGCACCCGCTCGTCCTCCTCCACGTTCTCCAGCAGCTTGACCAGCACCTGCGGGCCACGTTGCCAAACGCAGCAGTTGCACGCGCGCAGACGCAATCCAGCAACTGCAAACTAACCTCAACGGTTTTGAGCTGATCGAACCGCTCGACGTTCTCAGGGCTGACAGCCGTCTTCCAGATGGCGCCAGTGACGGCGGCCAGCAGCGCCTTGTCCAGCTTGGTGGCCGGATTCTTGGCCATGTTGACCAGCGGATCGAGCCCGCCCGACTGGCGCACCATATCGCGGGTGGCCGCCTTCGCGCAGCACTTGTAGATCGTTTCGGCGCAGAAGCGGCGCAGCGCCGGCGACTCGTCGGCGGAAAGATGGCGCACAATGTCGCTCACCATGCCCTCGGTCTGGATGGCCAGCTGGTAGCAGGGATCGGTGGCGCACTGCGATATCGTGCCAATGGTGGGGATGACCACGTCCATGTGGACGGATCGGAGCAGGCGCGCCAGCAGCGGCACCGCCCCACTCTTCATCATGACCTGGATGTTTTTGCGGCTGCGCGACACTGACCAGAGGGCGCGCGCCGCTGCGCTCACCATCGCAACGGACGCGGTGGCGTCCTCGTCCAGTTTGTCTTTGGGCGTGGCCAGATGGAGCTCGCTGCAGTCCAGGAAGTCCACCAGCTTGGAGATGCCCCGGCACTGGCTTTTCGGGGGTGGCAAAATGCCCGCTCAGAACCGAGCTCAGAATCGCATGCGCAACGTACCGGATGTGTTTGCGCGCCTTCTTCACTTGCGCCACATTGTAGATGGTTTCGGCGACCAGAATCTGCAGGTCGCGCGCCGGTTCTGTGAGGTTGCGCACCAAAAGCGCCATGCCGCCCAAGTTGGCGATGTATTTGCGGATGTCCCCGTTCTGAGACAGTTCGGTGAGCACGCTCAGAGCGCCCAGCTTGCATTTCAGATCCTTGGTCTCCAGCAGGTTGATCAGCAGCTCCAAGCCGCCGATTTCCTGGCGGGAAAATGCTCCAAATCAACTCCCCCCTTTGCATCAGAGGCCTCCCCATATGTGGATGATGCGCAGAGGGCCCCCTAGGGCCCTCTGCGCATCATCATGTTTCCGAAAGTCTAGCGGGGGAGTTGATTTTGGACCTCTAAAGTCGTGGTCTTAAGCCCAATGTTGGCGCGATTCGAAAAATTCCAAAACCCCTGAAAATTCCCTGTAAAACGCATTGATCACTTTCCCGAAAACGTCAAAAACAACGCAGCCCTGCTGAGGAAATGAGCTTCAAATCAACTCCCCCCTGTGTTTCGTAGACGTCCCTATATGCGGATGATGGACAAAGAGCCTCTAGGAACCCTCTGCGTATTGTCAGTTTTTCAAAAGTCAAGCGGGGGAGTTGATTTTGGACCTCTCAACTCTCGGCCAGGTCAAGTTAAGACAAATTGAACACGCGAATTCGGTTAAAAAGTATTCAGGCTACGGGGAGATCGATATTTGCCAAATTTTGCCGAAAAATCAAATTTTTTCAAACGCCACTTTCGGGAGTGAGCTGGCTATTTGGGGTCCGATTCGGAAAATTTCAGAACCCCTTGACAGTCTTGAAAATTTCCATTAAAACTCATTGATCACTTTCCCGAAAACGTAAAAAACAACCCAGCCGCGAGGAGGAAATGGGCTCCCAATCAACTCCCCCCAGTGTTTTGGAGGCATCGGTATATGCGGATGATGGGCAGCGGGCCTCTATGAACCCTCTGCGCATTATCACTTTGTCAAAAGTCAAGCGGGGGAGTTGATTTTGGACCTCTAAAGTCGCGGCCAGGTCAACATGAGCCAAACTGAACGCGCTCCTTCGGTTAAAAGGTCTTCAGGCTATGCGGAAGATCGATATTTGCCAATTTTTTGCCAAAAAATTGAATTTTTTCAAAAAATTATTTCGAGCGTATCTGGGCTATTTGGGGGCCGATTCGAAAAATTCCAAAACCTCTTAAAAACCCTGAAAATGCCCGATAAAACCCAATTATCACTGTGCAAAAAACCGCAAAAACAACCGAGCCGCGATGAGTAAATGGGCTCTAAATCAACTCCCCCTGCATTTTGGCTGCTGTCCCTATATGCGGATAATGGGCAGAGGGCCTCTAGGAACCCTCTGCGCATTATCACGTCTTCAAAAGTCATGCGGGGGAGTTGATTATGGACCTCCAAAGACGCCGCCAGGTCAACTTTAGCCAAACCAAGCGAGCGAGTTTGGTTAAAAGGTCTTCAGGCCACGGGGACACGGATATTTGCGCAATTTTTGCAAAAAAATCGAATTTTCCCAAAAGCTACTTTCGGACGTATCTCGGCTGGTTGGAGCCCGATTCGAAAAATTCCAAAACCCCTTCAAAGCCCTCAAACGTCCCTTTAAAACCCGTGTTTCACCGTCAGGAAAACGTGAAAAACAACCCAGCTACGGGAGAAAGAAGCAAACTCCCGGCCAGGTCACATACAACCGGGGCCTAAAAATGTCCCACCTGAATGGCCAGCTGGTTGATCTCGGTGGTCAAATCGTGGTCCTTCAGACAGCAAAGCGCCACAATGGTGGCCGTCTGGTTGCCCGTCTTCAGGTACTTGACCAGCTTCTGAATATGCCAGTACTCGGGCGGGATTTCGGATCGCGGCCGCTCGCTCCGCCCCTCGTCGTCCGACGACGACCTGGCCGCAAATTCCCCATCACCAAACAGGTCTGAGCCGCTCTGAGCCTCACCTGGAGCCTTCTGAGTCCTCGCTGTCGGGCAGCTCCTCGATCACCACCTCGCGCGGTATAAACTTGCTCTGATCCTCTGCGAACTCGTCGCCCAGCCCATCGTCCGATTCACCTTTCATTTTTTCTGATCTGCTAATCGACCTGCCAAATTCGACAGATAACCTCAAAAAAACACTGGTTTCAGTTGCGGCGCAACATGCATGACGTGCTCCAGCCCCACCACTGCGACGTCTACTTGATGCGCTGGCTCAAAGGTGAGTGGGGCTTCGCCCCTCCCCTTTTATGGTGACTCCTCCCATTTTTCTGTGCAGCGCGCAACTGGAGCGTGGAGGGGGCCGAGAAGATGCTGCGCCAGGTAAGTAGGCCACGCCCCCCGGCCTGAAACTGACACGCCCCCTTTCAGTCGCTGAAGTGGCGCGCGCAGTGGGAGGTGGACGCCGCCCTCTCCAGCTGGTCGCCCCCTGAAGTCGTCCAGCGCTTCTACCCCTATGGGATCAGCGGGGTGGACAAGGACGGCGCCCCAGGTGCGCCATCCGTGCCCCAACGTTGCCGGTTGCGCTAATTTTTCCCTGACTAGTTTGCATAGTGACGTTCGCCGGCTTGGATCTGCTGGGGCTGCTGCACTCGGCCTCCAGGCAGGACCTGATCCGGACCACCATCCAAATCCTGGAACGCGTCGTGGCAATTGCCGCCCAATCTGGCATCCATGGACTGTGCGTCATCTGCGACATGGACGACTTCAGTCTGCGCCAGTACACGTGGAGGCCGGCCGCCCAATACGTCATTGCGCTGTTGCAGATGTACGAGGCCAACTATCCGGAAATCCTCAAGGCCTGCTTCATTATCAATGGTAGGAAACTGTAAACGGGCGCGGTTGCCAGCTGGCCCCGTCCTAAACGCTGGGAATTTTGCGCAGCGCCGCGCGTCTTCGCCATCGCCTTCAACGTGGTCAAGACCGTGCTGAACGAGAACACGCTGGCCAAAATCCAGATTTTCAAGCGCGAGCCGAGCAAGTGGCAACATGCCATCCTGGCCAACATTGCGCCTGATCAGCTGCCCCGCCACTATGGCGGCCTTCTGGAGGACGCGGACGGCAACCCGCGATTCACCACCAAAGTAAGCCCGCCCCTTTTGCGACGTTTCTCCCACAACACCTGCCTGTTGCAGATCAACGTGGGCGGCAAAGTGCCCAAGGCCTACTACACCAAAAAACTGCCGGTGCCTGAGGAGGGCGACCGGGAGCGCGCAAGCGCCGTCATCAAAAAGGGCGGCCAACTGGTTCTGGACTTTCCCGTCACTGAAGAGCACTGCTTTTTGAGGTTACGATTCGGCAGGTTTTAGCGCGATTTGATGCGCAGCGCCCCCTAGAGTGGCCGCAGGCACCAAGTGCGACCCATCAAACCACACTAGAATTGGGGGCGCAGTTGGAATCTGCGGCGGTTTTGGCGAAAAAACGCAGCCCTGCCGGGGCAGCGCCTCTTTTAGAGGGGGAGCCGGTTGAAAAGGGCGTAGCGCCCCCTAGAGTGGCCGCAGGCACCAAGTGCGACCCATCAAACCACACTAGAATTGGGGGCGCAGTTGGAACCTGCGGTGGTTTTGGCGAAAAAACGCAGCCCCGCCGGGGCAGCGCCTCTTTTAGAGGGGGAGCCGGTTGCAAAGGGCGGGGGCCCGTAGCGCCCCCTAGAGTGGCCGCAGGCACCAAGTGCGACCCATCAAGTCACACTAGAATTTACCAGGGAAGCTGAATCCGGGGCGGGTTTACAAAAAAACGTGATTTTCAGATGGGACTTCCGCACTGAGGGGCACGATATCCGCTTCGGGATCACACTAAAGGACGCACAAGGGGAAACTAGCGCGGCCGTTCGATTCGGCAGGGTGGCGTCCCATCAGCTCGACGAAAGCGGAGTGCTGGCGTGCCAGGCACCGGCCACATGTGGGTATTTCGGCCCCAAAACCCCCCATTATCATCGATTTTCCCCCCATTTCCAGACACCGTTACATTCGACAACAGCTACAGCCTGTTGCGCAGCAAGCGGCTGCACTACAGCGTCTATCTGACCGAGCCGCTTAACAAGATTGAGATCTTACCTAGGGAGCAGGCTGGGGAGGCTGGGGACCCGCGGGAGACCGCTTAGGGACTGGACTGAGACGTCTGGCTGTTAGTTTAACTGATTATATTGCTGTAATTCTCTGCTGGACAGTTAATCGTCGTCGCTGTGCGTGAACAGCATGGAGACCAGCTCGGGCTTCTCGCACTGCGCCCCTTCGAGCGTCTGGGGCGCGCCCCAGCGCTTCAGCGTGGGGATCACCAGCAGCCGCGTCTGCGGGTCCTTGCGGAAGGCGCAGCTCGGGTCCTTCCACCTAAAACAGCCGCTCATCACCAGGGGGGCCCCCCTTTACGCTTGCGGCACTCACGTGGCTCGATCCCCAACTTCCACCACGACGAAATGCGAGTCGGCCGGCAGCTTGTCCAGCTCCTGCTCCACCACTGGCCAGGCTGCAAAACGCCGCACTCAGTGAAGGGGGCTCAGCCCTGCGGGCTGGAACTTACCCTGATTGCAGTCGGGGCACCAGCTCTCCCCCGTGGGCTCCTTGCTGCCGGTGAAGTACACATGGGCCAAAAAGGGGGCCTTCAGGCCCCCCATCAGCTGCCCGAAGGCTTCGTAGCCGCTCACGTGATGCTGGATGACCATTTCGGATGCCCCCCAACAACTGATTAGGATTAAGATTTTGCGGGCATGGCGGCTGGGCGGCGGCTTGCAACGTTGCCGGCGCGCGGCGCGCCCCGATCGATCCGGCCCTGCCCCGGCGCCCTGGCCCCCGTTTTTATCGATTTAAATCGATTTTTCCCCAACTGGTTTGACACAATGTGCGGTTATGTCCGGCCGAACTGACTGGGCGGCGTTGCCGCCAGGCGCCTGGTTGGAAGGCCAGGAGTTTTGCTGGAAATTCCCGGCTGGCTGGAAAATCCCCCGGTGCCCCCCAAAGGCTGCAGCGGATTTTGGGGGGATTTTGGAAAATATCCCCCAGTCCTCCGGAGGGGGTTTAGCGGCTTTGGGGGGCCAAAAGTGGCGGGCCCGCCGGCAACACTGCGCAGCTTGACAGGCCGCCAACGTTTGAAGTGTTCAAGAGCGGTTTGTCAGTGGGGGCCCCCCAAAAGTCGCGAAAGCGCCCAGTGCAGCCCCAGGGCCCCCCAGGGCCAGGGAGCAGGTAAATACTTTAAATACTTTAAATACTCATCAACTCGGGTTTCCACTTTAAAGGCGAGTTTTTGCGCCTCCAGGCCGCAGCGTGGGTGTGGGGCGCCGCAGGCTCTGCCCCCCTTCAGGGCGAACCTTCCACACGGTAAATCAGTTCACAATTGCCTTTGTCTTTGACATCGTCGTTAAAACAGCCAATATTTTAGGGGCTTTGGCCTGAGCAGTCTCAGGCGGCGTTGCCGGCAGTTTTTGGCTGGCAGCTGCGGGCAACTCGCTAAAAATCCCAGACTAGTTGGGAGGCTGTCCCAGGCCTTCGGCCTGGCCAAGGGGGATTTTCGGGGATTTTTCAAAAATTCCCCAAGGCTTCCAGGGCATTTTCCCTGCGGGGCATCGGGGCGCCACTTGGCAACAGGACGCCGATTGACAGGCCGCCAATCTTTGAAAGGTGGAAAAGCGGGTGTCAAGGGGGGCCCCAATTTGGCCCCCCAGCAAGAGCCCGGGGGCGCCAGCCCCCGCGAGGGGCCTCCAGAAGCCCCCACTGCGTCCTCGACCAGGTAACTATGCAGTTCTGGGTGTTTGCCTGCGTTGAACCGCGTTTCGCCCCCTTTTTAACCCTCCAGGCCGGAAAAGCCCCGCTTTTTAACACCGCAGCATTAAACTGTATCTGTTTCCTTTCAGATTTGAAGCTCCAGGCCCACTTGAGCGCGTTAAACGCACAGCACTGATAACGGAGACAAACAAACAACATCAGCCGGGAACCGCGTTTATGTTCAAAAGGTATTCGATGGGTGCATTATTCGATCGGGGCCTTGAGTCACCTGCTGGGGCTCAGCGCCCCTCATTCAGTCCGCTCAGGTCCTGCTTATTGTAGGCTTCCATCATGAAGGCGTCCGGCGTGTCCACCATGAATTCGTTGGCGGGTTGAGGGGCTGCGCCCGCCTCCCTACGCACCCTCCTGCCCCTGATCCGGAAGCTCCTGGCTGGCTCAGGGGCTGGCAGCAGGCGCTGCGGCTGGGCAGCTTCTGGCACCTCCTGCACGTTGGCAGGACTCGGCCCGGCTGGCTGCGGATTTTGCGACATGCTGATGACTGACTGGTATGGATTAACCGGCCTGCGGCCTGAGACTGGGCTGTTTTCGTTGCGATAAGATAACAGCTAAGGTAATCTAGTTATGAGGTAATTGAAGGCGCAGAAAAACTCCCAGACAGCGGCAGCGCAAGCACTCGAGGCCCTTAAATGGGGCCCGCGTTGTCCACTTAGGAGGCGCTTAAGCGGCCCGAGCTAATTACCCGAATATACACATATCGAGTAACCTGATTAGGAGGCCGAGGCAAAACAGCGTCGCACTAAAAACCCCCTTTTGGGCTGCTGCTGCTCGACCTAAAGGCGCATTTCCCGACGTTCCTCCCAATGATTCGAGGCGGAAAAACGACAAGAGTTTATCAATTTGAGGAGGAGGAGGAGGAGGAGGATGACAAATTGAAAGAGGCGCCTTTTTTGGGGGCGCCAAAGGAAAACTATTAGCGGTTAACAAAGCGACCCGTCGGCGCTCAAGGCGTTTGAGTGCGAAAATTACTTTCGCAGCAGCGAATATGGTTGTCGCGGCCACAAAAATGCCACAAAACCCCTTTGGATGCCGTGCAAAATACGCTTTCAGCGGATGAATGGGAGCGGGAAGTCGGCATGCGGAAATGCGATTGTCGAAGGGTGACAAATCGCGCGGTTGTCGGCTCAATTAAGCCGGCAAATGCGCTGTTTTTGTGTTGTGGGTSGCGCCGCCTCCGGCTCCAGCAGCTCGTGGGGCCCGTTTTTGTGCGATTTTYAAAATCACCASACGGTTTTATCGGGGACKTTTTCGGCTTTGGGGCGGTTTTTGAATTTTTCAAATCGGCCCGCTAATAGCGGGGATACACGCAAAAGTTGCACGTTGCCRCATTGCCTTTTTTTGGWAAATTCTGAGKWATMCAGTCAWCTGTCSYTCTTTTTTGGWTSAATTSCCGTCGATTTAAGGGAWTTTTCGTTTTAAGGAACTTTCACTCTCASCCTCGTAGCTCGTTGGTTTTTGTGCGWTTTTCAAARYGACCACACGGTTTTATCRGGGACTTTTTGGGCKTTTGGGCGGTTTTTRAATTTTTCAAATCGRCCCGCTWATAGCGGGGATACACGCAAAAGTTGCRCGTTGCCACATTGMCTTTTTTKSWAAATGTCTRAGGAATACCTAGTCRWYYGTCKTTYTTTTTTGGWTSAATTGCCGTSGATTTAAGGGTATTTCATTCTAAGGAACTTTCACTCTCACCCTTGTAGCTCGTTGGTTTTTGTGCGATTTTCAAAATCAGCACACGGTTTTATCGGGGACTTTTTAGGCTTTCGGGCGGTCTTTGAATTTTTCAAATCGGCCCACTAAWAGCKGGGATACAAGCAAAAGTATCAYGTTGYCACATTGCMTTTTTTYCGAWAAKTCTRRGRAATWCARTCGRCTGTCTTTCTTTTTTGGTYSAATTKYYKTCGATTTAAGGGATTTTKC